TTTCCCAGTGGAGAAGAATATCAGGGTGTTGCTGATAGACCGAGAGAGCACAGTATAGATATCCTGCATAGCATCTAATTGCTGTAGGCATTGTTATTAGATCCTCACTTTCATCAGATCTTCATTCACTGCTATGCAGAGGACTAGTTCTCAGCCTTTGGATAACAATCATGCCTCAGCATCCTCTGCTCATTTCTCTTAGAAAATTAGGCACCATTTTGTTTTTTTTAAAGTTCCTGATGCCCCTTGTTGTGTGTGAGATGTTACCCAGGACCCTGATTTCTAACATGTAGCAGGAAGACTAATCCCAAATTCAAAAATTTCACAGAAAAGAGTAATGAACCACTGGAGAATTGTTGCTATCAAGCAGGCTGCGTAGGCTAGGTCACAATAACTGGTAGCATGTAGTGTCTAATGGATTCTCGCCTGTCACAGATTGAGTGCATGATTTGACAAGAAATGTATAGAGAGACCATGTGGAAAACAGATGCAAAAAGAGTTAACACTTGCCATGTGCAAGGGACATTTGTCTTTTGGGCTCCTTAACTGCCATGAGAACCAGCTATCAAATGCATCAGTACCAACACAGTGGCCTCACATGTGCACAAAAATAGGATTCACTTCTGGTGACATTTGTGGTGGTGCTGGGCCTCCCAAGCTCCTGCTGATGTCAGGAGAACAGTATGTGCTCTGCTCTGCTGGGTATAAACTTGCATCTCTAAAGCCAAATGGAGCTACCAAACTTTAGACTTGCAAACTTAGGCTAGAAAGTTTAACTCAATTGAATTCTAGCTTTATAGTGATTAAGAGGATCCCAGAGGGGAAGGCCAAAAGTGTGTTAAGGAAATGGAAAAAAGGACTCACCTCTTTTGGGTTCTTGCTATGGGTAGTGTAGAATGTATCCAGTACAGGATTGGGCAGAGCTTTCACTCTCATCTTGTCCCTTAAACCCAGCTTTTTGCTCAGGGGCAGGGCTATGAATCTACAAGAGAAAAGAACAGGGTGCAGTCAAATGAGGGGTGAGTCCAAAGCTGAATCAACATCATTATCATTGTTGCTTTACAAAGCCCACAAATGTGGTAATGGCTTAAAGGTAGGTAGAAATCAGGGCTTCTTCACCAATAAGGATATGATCCAAACAGAGGGTATAGCAAGTAGATAGTACAGGGATGGAGATTGCAGGTCAAGAGTCATGTAAAAAAAATGTCAAACCTTGTCCTCACCTACCTTGCACTCAGTGTATTCAGTTACAAAAGTGCAAGCGTCTAAAAGTGAATATTTTACACTCACTTTTAGACACTTGCACTTTTGTAACTGCAGGTGCCATAGGGGAGCTAGCGAGGGACTCACCTGACTGGGAGAGGCTCAGGCTGGAGCCAGATTAGCTGAGCGGTGCAGGCTCTGGGTTTGTGTCTCCTCAGCAGCCAAGAAGTGAGGATCTCTTGGCTGCAGTGCTCCTGAAGGGACTGAGTATTGCGGGACAGCCCTGCAGGTCTGGGAACTGAGGCAAGCCCCGGGGCTAAGAAAGACTGGGTTTGCAGGTGAGTGGCCTTCATGTCAAACCCATGGAGAGGAGAGGCATCTGCCAAAGGGCGGCCACATCTCTTGTTTATTTGAGTTAGCTCAGTGGTTTAGCCTTAAGCCCTGCTCAGGCAGGCTGAAGGCCTGTTTAGAGGACTGGTAACCCAGGAGCCTCAGACTGAGACCGTCTCCAGCGAGGAGCCCAGGAGTCTAGAAAAAGGCTGGTATCCAAGCCCAAAGGTTCAAGAGCCCAGGGAAAGGTGGAGCTGGACCAGAGGGTACATGAGCCCAGAGCAGGCCAAGCCAAACTAGAGGGACTGAGAGCCCAGAGGAGGGGATGCATACAGGACCGAGGGTCTGACAGTGTTGATGGAGACTGAGTAACGAAGCGGGGGGTCCAGGGGCCCAAAAGGGGTCAAGTGTATAAAGAGAAAGATCAAAGTGAACTTCCACGGGGGACGCGGGGGGGGGGGGGGGGGGGGAA